ATTCAGTACTTACAGTGATGCAAGTAAAGTCATTGAATCTGAAAACTTAGATGTACCATTGCTAAGAAAAGTTTCAACTTAACAACTCGATGTTGCCTTTTGTTGCAGGGCCAGCCTGGCAAAACAGGAGCCAGAGGGCCAATGGGTGATCTGGGTTCCAAGGTACATGTTTTTACTAATAGAAATAACTGAAAATTAAACTTGTTGATCAATATACATTTCAGATTAGTTACAGTACTTGAGATACACAGCACATAGAGGCTTTAATTGTTTCTGGGCTTACCACGTTGATTGAAACCCATGACAATCAGGAATGCATTGTAAAACTAACAATTACACAGTCATGTATTTTACACAGCTTTATTAAATCTATTTCGTTTTCTATAGTCAGAGCTTGTAGCATTATCTTGTTGCATATGTTAGCTTGAGGCCCTTAAAAATGTATCACAACACACAACAAATATGGGACGTACAGACGCATTAAGAATGAGAGATTATTATTCTACCCTTTTTGGTACACATTGGTGGCACATCAGGCAAGTTTGGTTGAGCCACGGTTCGTATTTTGGTGAGACATAGTCAAGCCAAAATACCCATGGTGAGACGGAACTCCCTTGGTATGCCCCAAAGCATACCAAGAAAGGTACAATTTGGTAATTTGGCCAAGTGATCATGATACCATAGACAAACATGTACCACGTCAGTGAATTAGAATTGCAGTATATCAGAACAGTAGAGAGGGCTTGCCTTCTGATTGGCTAATTGTGAATTTGGGTGCACTAACCATTGTTATCTTGCTTTCAACAGGGTATGGTAGGACCTCCTGGCCCTCCGGGACCTCAAGGACCCAAGGTGCTGTGAATATTCATTCAGTCAATCCCATGTACATGTAGTAAATACATACAAAATAGCTTGAACTTAGGGCTGGAGTGATTTGAATTGAGTAATTTGTCTAGTGTGAAAAGAACTGTTCTTGATAACTGTTTACAATTTACCTGAGAAAAAGTGATCTTCAGAGTCAGTGTCAGAGTGGTCATCTTCAGAGACAGTCAATTGTGTGATCTATTAAATGTGTTTGTGTGCATTTGACTACCAACACAAAAGCAAACATGTTAGAACACGTTGAGTTCCAAATACAAATGCAAGTTTACTCAAAGTTTAACATGCAGTTCAGGGCTTCAAATAATTTCCAGGCTGGTGCCAGTCAAATTGTCCGGTCAAACCTATTTTTGCTCAGACAAACATTGATTACGTCTTATCGCTATGAAAGTGCCCCCTCCTCCCTTCACATGATGTTTAAATATGAAACAAGTAAATTTCAAAGCATTTATTGTACATGAGCATCAATCTCAATGCAGGAAAAGTTGAATGCATGGGACAGCAAAATCAGTATCACATTTGTGCGAAAATTTGCAACCATAGCCGGAAATTTTATGACTATGAATCATTTATTAAAAGTTCTTGGTCTGGTAGTTAAGTATCCACCTTTTTTCCCTCCTTTTTCACAAACGCCAATAATATTGAACCTTTAAATATTGAAAACTTGAAACTCTAAATTTTTTCCTTACCAGCGTAAACAACCGGACAAATTGTCCGGCCATCTAAGAATTTGACCGGACAAAACCTATTTTTGACCGGACATTGTCTGTTGACCGGCCGTTATTTGAAGCCTGCAGTTGACAGTTTGCGTATCTCTGATCGGTACCATTTGTATCATGGTCCATTGACAGTGATTGATCATTGAACAGCTGTTATGGTATTGACTGTTAAATAAGGACTCCTCTAATC